GACAGTCCGCAGCTCTGACCATTTCTGTACTCACTGTTTTCATTCAGGTTTTTCCACTAGTTGGTACCTAATCCACTTCTGTATAGTTCCTTTCAAAGCTCAGGGTTCCAGGATTATCTTCTGTATCTCTGTCAATTGGTTTTTCTTTTCTTTGTTGAAGAGGGTCTGTGTTGCTTGTCTGCCTATTCCTCCATCTTCAACACCTATATTTTTGAAAGCAAGTATCTTCAAACTGTGAGAGGGCAGCAATCAAATAAGAGTAGTGTTCATCTATCCATTTAGTTCCACATTTCAACCAGAGAAGCAACCATCAGTATTCTGGCTTAGAATGAATTCTAATATGAGCAATGCTTCTACAAACCAAGATTCTGAACCAAGGATTCTTGGAAAAGAGGAAAGATTATGTGCTTACCGTATAAAGCTCATTAAGAACCTTCATTAAATCCTCATGAAGTTGAAATGCAATCTCTTTGCTCTGTAATTAAGAAGAAATTAAGAAAAAAATATTTATTTAAAAATGTAATAGAAAGTTGTTTCTAAATTACTTAAATCTTAAAAGGATCCCAAATTGAAAATAGAAGAATGAATGTAACACAGCAAAGGCCAGTATAGTCCTGATGTAATTAACATCTTCAACTCTATGGCCCTTTCTAAATAGCAGATGATGTACACTGATAGTCACTTACCCCTTAACAACTGGACAGCCTGCATGGACTCCTCCACATCCAAATAGACTCTATCAAGAAAGGGGAGGGCAAAGCATCGTGCTTGCTCAAAAGTTTAGCTCCAGAATTAAAGTCATTCTATCACTTCAGTATCATCGTAAAGAAATTTTGCAGTATGGCTCTCCAAAAGCTAAGTTAGAAATCAAAATGCAACTTAACTTCTTTCCAAAATAACTATTTGATTACAATTTTCAGAAATCACTTTGAAAGTAATGAGATGGTAAGTCCACTTAGGGTTCCCATATCTTTTCCTCTATGTTTGTTATTATGATGATTGCTTAAGAAAGATAAAGACAAAACAAAACAGAAGTTCAGTCTTCTAAACAGATGGTATAAGTATTCTTCTCTAGGCTAATTCTGAGAGTTTGATAGAGTAGTAAATATGTACATTATATATACACACACACACACACACACACACACATATGTATATACACACACACACACATGCAAAATTTATAATCCATTTTAAAGAAAATATCTCCAAGCTTTTTTTTTTTTTTTTTCCTCCTGTTTTGAGTTTATTATGTAGTTAGCTAAGGAGCTCTGATGGCTCAGTGCTTAAGGCATTTGCCTGCTAACCAGAATGTTGGTGGTTCAAACCCACCAGCCGCTCTGTGGAAGGACAATGGGGCAATCTACTTCCATAAAGATTTACCACTTTGGAAACCCAATGGGGGTTGCTATGAGTTGGAATCGACTTGATGGTAGTGGGTTTGGTTTTTGGTTTGTATGTAGTTAGAGCTACAAAGAATAGAAAAAATGTGTAGCATGGCTTAATCTACAATTTGAGACCATGAAAACAACTCCCAAGTTCTTATTTATGTGTCTCCCACTGGACTGTCAGTATTGAGGGAAGGAACTCAAAAACTCCCTGCCATCAAGTCAGATCTGACTCACAGCGACCCCTCCTTAGGTTTCTGAGGCGGTATCACTATGGGAGTAGATTGCCCAATCTTCCTTCCGAAGAGTGGCTGGTAGGTTTGAACCACCAGCTTTCTAGTTAGTAGTCAAATGTCCTAGGCACTATGCCACCAGAGCTCCTATTCTTAATCAGCTCTGCAACCCCAGTGTCCTGCATGGTGCTTAGACACAAGGCCAGGGCTAGTGTGAAGCAAGCAAGGCACCAAGGGTGTAGAATTTGTGGCACTCATTCTCACCCTAGTCTTGGCCTTGCTTCAGCACATAGGAAGCTTCCAATAAACCCTTAAGAATCCATAAATGAGCTGATGCTCTGCAGTCCTCACCACATTTGCTGAAGGTTGCCTGCCTGCCATTGCTGAGAAGCCAGGAGGGAAAGGTCTACAGACCATACTGAAGAAAATACTAGGACCCAGATGAAACAGAGTCAATCTACAAATACAAGGTCATTGGGCCAGACCTCAAAAATGGCCAAATGTGATGGAGCAAAAATGTTCATGGAAAATAAAATAGTGTGACATTGAAATAGTACCTGAATTTTGAGAAATTCAAATTCTTTAGCAGCATTGGCTACTGGTTTTCTTGGAGTGAAGATGGTGCTGCTTTTTATCATTCTCTGACAGTTTCTAAAATCTCTCAATTGGAATTAGGGATTTTATGCTTTGCCTTGTCTTTGATAAATGGAGATATGGGTTAAAAATCATCCAAGGGTGAAAGACAAGTCACAAGTGAGCAAAGGAAACCAACTGAAACTCATTTTATTTCCCCTAGGTCTCGGTTATTCTGAACATATACACTATACTGCAATCTCCTATGACTTCAGCTTGGTATTATTTTAACATCAGATTTCATTCAAGGATGCAGGCCACCAGTTCAGAACTCTCTAATGGGGTCAAAGGCCACCAAGAAACTGCTTAGCTATCCACATTTCAGGTAGCAAGTCCAAAAAGAAAATACTTCTTAGTTAAGATTTTAGAGCAAACCCAAACCAAAACAAAAAAATCGCCTAGGTACAATTAGCTCCAATGTAAGAATATTTAGTGTCAGATTAAAAACTTAGGTTTGGGGTTACAAGGCCCCTCCAAGTTACCCTAGGCCAAATATCTCAGAACAAGCAAGAAGATTCTTTGTTTCATATTTTACAAGGTAATGAGGTAGAAAGAATCTGGCATCACAGAGAGCCTGCCTTCTGCCAAGCAAACATTCACATTTTTCTTTCACTTTTCCCCAGAGGCCCTGATATATGCAAAGTCTGTCTGAGAGGAAGTATAGCAATAATGCTTAAAAAGCAAGGACTCTGGAGTTAGGATGCCTGAGTTTGAAGTTTCAAAGACTTTGGCTCTCTGTATGCCTCCATTTTCCGATCTGTAAAATGAAGACTGTCATCGTACATATTTCATAGGGCTGTTGTATAGTTTGAGATGACACCTACCCTGCACTTAGTAACTTGTACGTAACACAGAGCAAATTTTTCATAAATGTTATAATTATTTCTTTCCTAAGCACTATCTGGTGATGGTACGACCTTGAGTGAAAAAGTCACATGATATTTTTCTTTCTTTAGGTCTCTTCAAACCAAACCTGTTGCCACTGAGTAAATTCCAAGTCACAGTGACCCAACAGGGCAGAGTAGAACTGCCCCCACAGGGTTTCCAAGGCTAATCTCTACAGAAGCAGATGGCCACCTCTTTCTCCCATGGTGTGGCTGGTGGGCTCAAACCACTGACTTTTTCATTAGCAGCCAAGCACTTTAACCACTGGGGCTCCTTTTTGGTCTCTTCTAGCACTTAATTCCATTGACTTTCCCAAAGGAAGCATTTGGTAGATACTGGGTGATTTGATTTTGATGTCCCTCATCACTGCCCTACCCTGCCTTTTAGTTCCCTCCAAGTGACTGTGATTTCAGAGGGCGTCCAAGTGTTGTGCCTCAGCCTTGTTTACATTCATGAATGAACATACTAAACGTATCTTCCTATGTCTCATTTTCTACTACAGTACCTACTATTAGTGGACAAATTAATTAGTATCATTACGAAATGGGTAAGTCTTCAAGCTAGCATCATAAAATATACTCCTGGAGGAGGCCAGTAAGGAACAGGAGTACAGTGGTGGGACTGTGAGGTTTCACGGGAAGTTGGTAGAAGTTCCTTCCAAGCAAGTAGACCTCCAGCTATCCTCATAACACATCACCAAAGTTTCTGCCTATTTGTTCACTTTGAATTGCACTACAAATCCTTCAAGGTCTATTAAATAACCTAGAAATTAACTGTTTACTTCCAACAACCACTCCTTTGGTCTGCAAAGGTTCTCAAAGAACCAGACTAGACTCTGAAAAGCACTAGCTCATATGACTAATGTATGAAGCATGAATTTATACACAGATAATTGTGCCAGCCCAGTCCTATGGACTCAATTAGCTGCTAATGGAAAGGTCAGTGATTTGAATCCCAGTCATGCTGCAGAAGAAAGATGCAGCAGTCTACTTGGGTAAAGATTTAAAGCTCTGGAAACCCTGTGGGGCAGTCGTACTCTGTCCTACAGTGTTGCTATGAGTTGGAATTGACTCAATGTCAACAAGCTTTTTGGGTTATGCCCAGTGTTGGAGACATGGTTACAGCACAGGAATGGTTCTGGCCCTCATGGCAGGAAAGAATGAAAGGACCACTTCATGTTATACCACTCTTCACTTTAAACATGTTTCCAATTCTTCCAACAAAAGTGAAAATCAACCCTTCTATCCTAAGAAGGGGAGCTCTGGTAGCATAGTGCCTAGGCACTTGACTATTAACCAGAAGGCTGGCAGTTCAAACCCACCAGCCACTCCTCGGAAGGAACATTGGGCTATCTACTTCCGTAGTGATACTGCCTCAGAAACCCAAGGGGGGGTTGCTATGAGTTGGGTCCGACTCGATGGCACATAATAACAACAACAACAACAACAACAACGAACCCTAAGAAGTAGTCTTTAAACCAAAATACACCTGCTATAGCTCTGTTAGTATACTGGCAGACTAGGTTAATGAATTAAAATCTCCTAAATAGACATTATCTGAATTGTCAAAATATCATCAAAATTCAATAGGCTAAATATAAATATGTCTCTGAGTTTTCTTTCATTAAAAATCTGTGAAAACAAAGTTGAACAAGACAGAAAATAACAAATGCTGATGAGGTTGTGGAGAGATTGGGACTCTCATACACTGCTGGTGGGACTGTAAAATGGTACAACCATTGTGGAAAGCAGTATGG